TTCCTTCCTTCCTTCCATCCTTCTTTCCTTCCTTCCTTCCGTTCTTTTATCTTTCTTTCCTTCCTTCCTTCCAGTGTGAGAACGAGTCCATAACAATTGGTATTTACTGCACTACCTTGTAAAGTAGACATCGACCCACTGTCCGTTATTGACCAACAAAGGATTAGTGAGGGTAATAGGTCCTTGTCCAGTATTGTACTGGACATTCACCTTACCATCTGATATATATACAGCCAATCCTGTTTGCTGTGGAGGGAAAACAAGCAAGATTATCGGGTCAGGTTAGAAAAAGCAATAGAATGTTTTTGACTTAGTCCAAAACCGCAGTTGTACAGGGTTAGCCTCATTTTCGGTGTACAAATATTCACAAATACCAACGGAAAAGTAAGGAATGCACGACTTCAACAATACATTGGACATTCACTGGAACGCATGAATATTCAAGATAATTTTATATACAAAACCGAAGCCTAACGCTTGTGCAACAAAGAATTCGAAACTGGAGTATTTCGAAAGAAAAAACAAAACCATGCAATAGAGACGTTTGACCGGCGCCGGCACCCATGTTGGAGGGTTAAACAGCAGGTGGGACTACGATGACGAAATTTGTTTTGGTTGATTATTATTTAAATTGCAAACCAGAAATCTATTGGACAATACAACAAAGTGAAAAAAACCTATTGTTGGTACATTTATTAACATCACAATGACAATGTTCATAAACATTACGTCCAACATAACAATGGCAAGTGGATTTTTAAAAATATATAACCACATTACATTGTTACTGCCCTACAACAAGGTTGTTGTGAAAATCAGCTTTATTTACCTGTGAGTTCACATTTTCCCCCAACATGTTCACCAATAATCCCTCACTGGAATTCGTTTTGAAAGTAATCGATAGCTCGTTCCTTGTTGGTGACTCAATAGTTCGACTTGATAAAGCGTACTCATTAGCTCCTTCCCCATTTAGATTCAACGCCAGTTCAACTTCAGTCATTCTTTTGTTAAGAGCCCTTAGTTTTTCCTCTAATACATTTAGTTTATTATCGCTTTCTTGTTGTTGTGTTGATAATAGTTGTTGCTGCTTAAGAGCCTCCAGGACGTTGGATGAGGCGTTCTTTAGTTTCAAGGAGGTAGTGTTTACTTTAAAAAATATATAAGAAATATACTTTAATACAATGTAATATAGGACTTGTCCACAATACCAATACCAAAACCAAAACATGATTGTATGGAGATAAGATACTTGTTTCGTTTTGTTTTATTTCGTTTCGTTTCGTTTCGCTTCTTTCCTTTTTTTGTTTTTTTTGTTTTTTTTGTTTTTGTTTTTTTGTTTTTTTTTTTTGTTTTTTAGGGGAGTTGGGGGCAGGAAATTCGAATAAGGTTCTTTTTAGACAAGTATATGGCGGGCGGCGTTAAACACTGAAATATTATTTTTATATGAGTGGGTTAAACAAAAGCAAAAGAACTGAACGGTGACTAAAATAGGCAAATTCTTCTAACAATTACAAAAACTTACGATTCAAATAAGMMGCTTGGATGACTTTCGAGTCCCGTTCAGATGATCGTTTCACGAATTCAGTCTTATTGAACACGTCGGACAACTGGAGTTCAAGATCAGCCACTTGTTTGCTCAGGCTGGTTAATGATTCACTGAAGTAATTCGTTCTTTCTTGTGCATGACTCACGGTTTCAATGGCACTTGGAGCTGCAGGATCAACCAATACAATATATGTATAATTAGAAAGTAAAAACTACTAGAAAGACGCTCGGTTTCTTTAACACAACCAAATAACTGCTCTTTATTCTACTTCCTTTACGTGAATAAATGTGTCATAAGACATTTAGTGCCATTTTGATACATTTCTCCATCTATTAGTCATCTCATTCGTTAAATGATAATTTCATTACTTCATTTTTCATTTATTAAATCCCTTTCATTCATTCATTTACTGGCATTCATTCATGTAAAATATATATATATATATATATATATATATATATATATATGAGTTTTGTCTCTTCCTTTTTGAAATCTCTTCTTCAAATGACCAAAAAGGATTCTTAGAACATGTTCTTTCTTTTTTAGTTTCCAGACCTTTGTGAAGGTACGTTGTAAAGATACATACCATAAAGTGATGTTGCTAAGCTTAGCTTGGCTTCAGCCTGAACCAAAGCTGGGTAGTAGTTGTAGGCTTCGTACCATTGCTGAACAGCGAGCCGTATTGTTGAATTAGCAGCTGATATGGCATCTTCAATTAAGGCTATACAAGAGGAAAATAATAATGAAATTATTAGATCAATATCTTATTATCAATAATAAGTAATAAGTAGTTCTTTAAAAACATTGACATTGCTGGAAATAGCTATAGATATATTAGATATATAACTACTACATACATTTATGCTTTGGTATATTCCAAACAAAAGCTCTCTATCAGTGTTGCTGGGTTTCACTGGACAAAAGTCTTTGAATCTCATATCTGCTATAGATATGGTGGTCATACACTGACTAACCACTATGTGCTGTCGACCAGAATGAATCATCGAAAACTTGTGAATCAACTGGAACATGTACATGAAATGACGTCAAGTGAAACCTGAGGCCAAGTGTGTAAGTATTCCAGCATTATAATTCACAGCTTTAGGAACTAGATGTTTACAAACCTTTTTCAGTTGATGTAAGATTACGCTGTAGTGTAGCATTGTAATATACTGTCATATTATGTAGTTCACCGTTAGCCTTGGCCAATAGTTCTGGTACTGAAACTCTATTAAGCTGAAGGCAATGAAAATACATATAGATTAGACCATATAGTTTGTTTAATAGTGTAAACATATATTTGGTACGAATCATTACAAAAGTCACACGGTACAACATGCCGCGTAACATTAAAATAACTTCACATTGTCTTCCAATAATTCATCCAATCACATCGCGTAGTTCAGTTACGGCTACGGTTACAAATGTGCCGTATCGTTTTCCACACTCATAACCGTCCTAACAACCAAGAATATAAACTAAAGTGTATTTCTTAGCTATTTCTATAAAGTGACTTTCTATCAATTGAAGACTATCGTTGTGCCTCCTGTCATGGCTGCCATCACGTGATGGCGCAAAGCATCTATAATTCTGCAAAACCTCTAAAGACATGCATTTGTGAGTGCAATGTATTCAACACGGCCATCCTCACCTCTGATGCAATACGAATGACAGTAGCTTGAGCACGTGAAAGTGCATCAAATGAGCTGTTGATGATTAGTTGTATTTCAGAATACCGCTGGATAGCATGTACCGCTGCAGCTCCATGACTTCTACTTTTATTGAACTCCCTGTACAAATTATAATTATTATTTTTTATTTAAACATATTAACTCTCTGTGTGCTCTCCAAGAGCTAGGCTTATCGTGGGAGATTACACAGTTAACAGTAATTACAAAGTTCCTGGAGTTTTAGGAAAAAGGAAAAAACAAAAAACACATATACACTTATTTCAATAAAGTTAGTCACCAAAAAAGCTACAAAGCTGAGACCGGCGAGGATTATGGGTAGATATACATTTTACATGTTTCAACCGCTTGATAACTGTTGATGGACTTGCACATCTTCTACCAGTTACAGACCTCTGAACATCCTCAGTCAACTGCTGCAGTTTGTGTCAAAAGCTTTACTTGTTGGATATGAAATATTTCCCATGATTCTCAGCGATCACAGCTTTCTAGGTTTTTGGTGACTAACTTTATTGAAATAAGTGTATATAGAAAAGTACAATGGAGATTATATCGTGGGAGATTATATGTACTGATTACAAAGAATATATATATATATATATATAGAAAAAGTATTACGGAAAATAAAATATATCTACGAATCAAATTATAATAAAATATTAAAACTCTCATGTGAGTGCAGGGTCTCATTAAAGTATAGACTAATGATGGACACTTGTGCATTAAAAATTCATGTTTTTCTAAAAATAAATATTCCAGTCCACTAGCTTCCATTACAGCAAGGAAAACTAATATTTATATAATAAACCCGTATCTTAGGCATCAATTCTCCTATTTCAGACCATGTTTCAGTCTCCCTTGACTGAAGTGTTTCTTTTTTTGGAGGTGACGCTTGAGATATGGATGCAACCGGCTCAAACAGAAGCGTATTCAAATGCAACGGGGGGAAAAGTCCAAAGTAATAGGGTACATTTAGTAAGTAAATAAGTCTTAGTAATGCGTGGTTTTCACTTACGATGAACCAGCTTATTACGAAGTGAAAATCAGGAACATTGTCTAATTTGGTGTCAGAAGCGCATCGGGATCGGAAACGGAAGGATTCGTCGCGCAATAAGTATTGCTTCCCACTGTGATTCTGACAACAGTTCTGTCGCGAGTGAAATTCATAATTTATGCCAGTGGTTCAATACAGCAGTTTTCATATGACTGTGAAAAAGGTTACTGCACGAACGCGGTCGTGACAAGGCAAGGTAAACATGGCATGAACACCGCACGGACACGGTCACTCCAGACCAATCACATAACGCGAGAAAAAATCAGCCAATCAAATTTCTGGAAAAACATCACGGTCCTGACAAGGTACGAATACGGCACCGAGCTTTTTACAGTCATACAAAAGCTGTTCTAATCATATGGAAACTGTATTTTAAGACACTTACAGCTCTAGCTGTTCTGCAAGGCTTTTTAGTTGTTGAGCATGCTGATGTGCCTGGGTTAATTTTCCTTCAACAGAGCCAAGTACTGCGCTCACTTTTTCACATTGTGATAGTAGTAGATTAGAAGCATCTGCCAAGCCACTCGTTGATTTGAAATTACCACTTTCAATTTGTGAGACATCCTAAGAAAAATGAAATGACAAGTATTTGTAAAATATCTGCCTTTCAAGGAAGGGTTTTCTCTGGTGTCAAGTCCGGTTTTCCTCCCCTCGTAAAACTCGGCATTTCAACCTCGTACCCAGAATAAAAGTGAAATAAAATCAATGAAAATCTTGCTTTCAAATAGAGTTATGTGTTTACTTCCGATCAAAATAAGCAAGTCTTTGTGACGCATGCGCTCTTTTACCGGAAGTCCAAGAAATCCTGGTCTCAAAAAATTGGATTATGCCAGAGCCCTCGTTCTTCGCCGCAGCCCAGAAGAAGCGCTAGTTCTGAGTACGAGTTTGTTGGCATTTGAGTTGAGCGATGTGTCGTAAATAGTGAAGGTAGAGAGTGTTGAGCTAATGTCACGGAAGTGGCTCTTACGGTGAGTAACAGTTGAATTATACTAAATTTAAGAAGCATTTGGAGATCCTAACAACATAAGAAACTTTAAGTACTGGAATGAGATTTTTCCTGGTACGAGTTCATCCCGATTGCCATTTTTTTGTTTGTATTTTTTACATGATACCACAGCAATTTTATACTGGTACGAGTCACTCTGGAATGAGTTCATCTAAGTTTTCCATTCCCGAACGAAACACTCGTACCGAACATTCTATACTAGTACCATGTAAACTCATTCTGGAATCAAACCGTTGTCTGGGGAGACTGGAACGAGTGACGCATGCGTATCAGACATTTAAAGATGATAATGCCATGCGATCGGAGTACTCCTTACCTCTGATTGCAGGGGATACCACTTGGTGTATGTTTGGTCTCCAAGTATTGACAAGTCAACAGTTGCCTCTCCCATGAAATCATCGTCGTCTTCTGGGTCATAATCAAACACTCTCAGTTTGAGTTTGGATTTGAGGAGCTGTTCGCGTTGGATGTCGAAGTGGTATATCAATGTTTCAGACCAGACTGGGTCCAAAGTATCTAGATTTAAGGAGAATTGTGAATTTGTCAGCACCGTCGAATCTCTGTGACAAATGCAACATCATACTAACAGCAAAACAACAACAAGCTAATAGCTCCAAAACAGACGTCTTTGGCGTAATGAATGCCATTTAAAAAACTCTGTCATTTCCCAGAGTATCATTTATTTGTAGACATGAAAAGTTACAATGGATCAAAATACTCAGTTTGATCATATTTATGTACATAGCAACGGTACGACTTATCAATGATATAAGGAGTGAAGGTTTTTTCTATTTTATGTAACATATATTTCGGCTATCAAAACGTATCTTTTTACCATTTATAGTCATCGATCTTTGTACTCCAAAGTTATCAGGGATCAAAGACACCAAGACGTAGGGGTTTGCTTTTCCATTGGGTTGATCCCTTGCTGACAAATTACGTCCCTTCAGGACCTTTACCGCAAACCGATGTTCTTCATCATCATACTTGAGCATGGATACTTGTATTTCACCGCTGACCGCTGTGATCATAGCCTTGTATTGCTGATAAAAAGTGGAAACAGAGCAACAAATAAACATTATTCTGATTGGTTGAGAGCGCGTGCGTCATGAGAGCACACAGCACGTGCGCGCACTTTCATTTGCGTCATTCCTATCCAAAATAACGGTTTTTGTAATTTTTATTGTATAAAAGAAATAAAAAACTTCATTGCCGTGCTGTGTGGAGTGAAAACGCACTTGGGGATTGACAGAACACTCGAGAAGTGTCGAGAAGCACTCCTCTACGCGTCGTGTTTCTCCTAACACTCCCCTCGTGTTCTGCCGACCCCGAGTGCTCTTTAACTGCACACAGCACGCGCACGCTTTTTCGTATTTCTCTAAAAGACCGATCAACTTTTGAGGGATATGGAAGTGGTAACGGTTAGATAGTAGAGAGTTTTAGATTGAATTTTTTCTCTTCCCGCAAACGGCAAACGTGACCACATTTTCATCGTTTTCCTGTATTTTACTTTACCTTTTGCAAACTTTCATAGCACAAACAAATATTCTTTTGTTTTTCGACTACTTGGATTTTTTTTTTGCGATTCCTTTTCAGTTATTTGAAATAATTTTTCACTGATCATCTTGAGTTACACGTTTGCCGTGAACGGCTATCTAAAACTCTCTAGTATAAGACAGGTTACCTCAAACGCAGAAGTCGCTTCCTGCAATAGGGTTTTAGTTTTGTTGAGAGTGTCTTGAGATTGAGAACCAAGTTCTTGAGTTTCGTTCAGTCTCTGTGATTCAAGACTTAAAAGTCCCTGTTGTAAAGAAGATAATGTCGTCAAACTTAACTGAATTCAGTTTTTCGGCGCTGGCCGTCACGAGTCAAGAAGTTCGGACATAATTCTCGGATTCCAATGTCCCGGAGAAATAATTGGTGAACGTAACAGAAAGGCAAACCAATTTGACTACGTAATGGCTAGCGCCGAAAAGGTCCATTGATAAACACTTATTACTCGATTACACGTTACGTCATCGCAGTCATGTTGTTGCTATTTAAAACAAGACTGATCGGTAGCATCCATTGTAAACCGTACCAAGATGGCCGCCATGATTTTGTCTTTTGACTCTCGATATGCTTGCAACTCAGCACCCTCTACTTGTTGGTTTCGCTAACGTTTTCGCCTTTCCGTTTTCGCTCGTTTGTCCTCGATCCTGTAATACACCCACCCATGCGTCTCTATCAACCAATCCATCTATATTTATTCATTTATGCGAGCATGTATCCATTCATATTTCAACTAACTATGAATTTAGTAACACAAATACAACTTCAACTTACTTTGGTTTGATTGATAAGGTCATGAACACCACCAAACTGTGCAGCTATACCAGTGAGGAATCCCATAAACTCAGCCTGAGTGTTGTTCCATTTCATCAGTAGTTCAGAAAGGTTGTGATTGCTTCTTTGAACTTGCGCATTCAGATCACGTGCCAGAGATGTTTGATTCAACAGCTAATAAACGGAAAAGTTTAGCTTATTACGAGCAAGTTTAATCACGATTAGCATACCAATAGTAAATAATATAATAATTAATAAATAAAATAAATTTATTGAACCGGATTGCTGCCACTGTGAGTGAAACAATGTACAATCACAGTATAGAGCTGTTAAGCTGTTACGTATTTCCGGGTCCAACTGCTTGCAAAAACCGCTACACACAGCGCAAAATGTTAATCCTATAGGTCCTCCTACGCCCCTTTTTAATAAAGTATATTTATCTATTATAGATTAATTAATCTTCAAAGTTTTTTTCTACACACACCTTTTTTGCTAGTCCAGTAACAAAGGCAGTCAAATTCTCAGCATCCTGTATTGATTGAGCAACCAGCATTTCGTGATTGCTGTAGTCACGTACCAAAGATTCGGACACAAGTTCTTTTGATGTATTTAAAAATAAGTCGCCATTTTTCAGATTCAATGCAAAACTATTAACAATATCTTGCAGAAGTCCATCTACACCTGAATATTACACCAATCAAAAATAATTGAGTTAGATATTAATTCGATGGCCAGAAAGTTCTTAGCAATATTTCTTTTGATTTCATTGCCCGCACATCCACATTAGACGCGTCATACTACAGGGAAATGGTTATTGCGCAAGATATATTGTTGCTAGAGGTCTTTCATGTGGGACTGGTGTTTCCACTACGGCAACGTGTCTTCCCTTAAAACTATAATATTTGTTTCGTCTCATATTGACACTAAGGTGTCGTTTCAGAGAGTACCGTTGAACAAAGGAACAATACTCAAAGGGATGGAATGTAGCCTAAAAAGAGAAAACATTAGTTCCAAAGTAAAAGTTTGGGCATCGCTTGTTTAAATCGAGCATTAGATTTTTTAGTAAAAGTTTATTCATTTGACACTATATATTTTCTTTCTTTATGGAGTTTAATTTTTTTTTCTACCAAAATATTCCTTACTGCTAACAAAGAGATCTGCTTCCGCCGTACGGTTATACACTTCCGTTAATCTCTCGAGATGTCGTGACACATTTTGTGCTGTAGCGGGAGCTCGAGTGTTCAGTTCAGCAGCCTGGAATAGAAAAAAAAAATAGGAGAATTGATTTAACTTAATACACCGTATGGTTTGTGATGTTTAGAAACTGACGTTTCGGACGTTAGTCCTTCGTCGGAGTAAAAACTGAGTTAAAAAATAGTTGTCAGTTTTGTTGAAAAGCGAACTAAAGATTTTTTTTCATTCCATGAACATAAAATGCGCTGTTGCACTGTAATATAAACACGCTGGAAGCTGTAGAAAATGTGACTGGGAAAATATTGGGAATTAATGGCTAGAAGAGTGTTTTTTCTTCACTCACTTTCGAAACAGTGAACTCGCGCGCGCAATATCCGGCCAGCTGCTTAGCAAGATTTTTGCTTTTTCGCAACAAGCAGAAGATTCCTTATTAGTCCTCATTTCATTATGAAAACATAAGGAAACAGGATCATAATTTTTTTTTTTTTTTTTTAGTGCTTGCGCTTGCATTTGTGCATTCATTTKTATTGAAAACCTGGCTTAAAGGATGTCTACACTGCAATACAATGATACGGCGGATAGTACCAAACAGTGAGGCTGAGGTTCTAAAATGATTTACTAATTGCTGTAGTGCATTGGTTGACTATGCTATGTGAACTTGTTTGTTTGGCATGATTACACCTTTTCCGAAATTGCAAATTACCGCCTAGTTTTTTGGTTAAAAACTCGTTTACTAAGGGTTAGCCTTATTTCAGTATCAAAATATTCACAAATGTCAATAGTAAAATAAGGGATGCACGTATCAATAACATTTATTTGAAGTATCGAGATTTTTCACTGGAATAAATGAGCATCTACGCAAAATCCAACAGATGTGGATGCTATTTGCTACTACATCTGTTGTTGTGAATGCTGCTTTTGTTAACGTTGATGTTGTGGTGGTTGAGGTTGTTTATCTTAACTTAAGTTCACCTTTTTTATTTGCTCTTCATAACCAGACTCTGCCACAGGTAGTTCCGTACTATTAAGTCCTTGGTGTACGGTTTCTGCTCCAGCAAGCCGAGCAGAAAACGCAGATGCCTTGACCTGGATAAAAGGGGTGGAATATTTTATTAATACCATGGCATCATAATTAATATCCATGCAATAGATCCCTTAACATGTGACGTCAAAGCTGCTCAATTTGGAGGACAAAAGAAACGAATATCAATCTCCTGAGAAATGGAACCTATTTTCATGTCCTCCAGATTTAGCTGCATTCCGACGTGCTGCAAGGGGTATATACACCAAATCCGCTTGGGCTTATTCCTGTTTGAAGAACGCGTGTTATTCCATTGAGAATAAGGTTCTTTGCAGCGAGGTGTATGCGTAGCCGTTAAACAAAGAAATTATACTCTAGGGAAAGACACCTGGTCTCAAATAGGAAAACACTACGCTCTGGTAGATTTGGTCCATTGCTCGCATACATTCCTTTCCTTGAAAATATATAGACAACAAAAAGACACGATCACGAAGTTGGTCATGCCGGCACATGACATCACGATACTTACAGCCATTTGATCAGCTTTCTGCTCAGCGTTTTGTAGAGGCTCGTGCAGTTTTGCTAACTCAATTAAGTTCTTGGCCATCTCTTCAGTGGTATTGAGCTCAGACCCCGTGGTTTCTATCGTATTTTTTAACTTCATGACACACACGGGACAAGCTTGAAGCAAACAAAATTGGTGATCAATAAGATTGCTGCTATATTAGTGCCTTCCAAAGCTTCCATGTTGGTTGACCTTAATATCCACTTTGTACCATTTAATTTTTCTACTTTCTGTCATGCCTGTCATTACGTGATGGTGCAAAGCCTCAATCTAATCCATAAAAGATTTTAACGTAACACTTTTTGAGCAGTATCCAAGGTATATCTATTTCCTTAAATTACCTTTTAAATATGTATAAACTTACATTTTACAATCATAACTCCACGTAAGGGGCTCTTCCTCGAGTTTTCGCTCCACACACGATACCACTACATTCAATATTTTTACAACACACACAAACAGATTATTTCCATCTAATCCTCTTTCTATCCAAGCAAAGATACGGAACTAAGTAAATAAGTAAAATACTTACAGGAGCATCCCTGATCTGAAAAATTGGTGTGATACTCTTTACATTGATCACATGCTCGCCCAGCAACTCCAGGTTTACATTGGCACTGACCATATGTATCGTTGGAACACACACTGCCATTTACTGTACCATTCGTATTACAGGAACAAGCTTGAAAGGTTAAGAAGAGGTTAAGAAGAGGTTAAAAGACATGAATTTAGGGATTCGTGCTTAATGATGAAAACCGTATCCGTTAGCCTAGGTTCTCTAAATAATTAAATCTAAATCACCGTATGTAATCAGTCTTTGAACAAATGGGTAGCTGGGCAACATGACAGCTACTACTCAGGGGGATAACGAGGTCTCGATTATAGGGGGTGGGGGAGGAGGGTCGGGAATATACTATTTTCCCGCCCGCTAAATCCGAAAGCAAACTTTGTGCCGAAAGCAAAAGTTTAGAGGGTGTGCCGAAAGCCAACTTTAAGAGGGGGAGGCGTTTCCCCCTCCCTAAGCTAGTGCTACTACTGCTAAAGCAAAAAAACCTTCTTCGAAAGTGGAACCCAAAGTTTTGTAATGGCATTCGCATGATATTATTTACCACTAAGGTTGCCCAAAAAAAAAAAAAAAAAAAAAACAAAGAAAGAAATATATCGCTGAATATCAAAACTCAAAAAAAGTAACACTTAAAAATATGATTTAAAAATCGACAAGCAAAACAAATGAATACACGAATAAATAAAGATAAAAACAAATCACGCAACTAAAATAAATACAATATACTACATAACAAATGAAAAAAACGACTAATACATAATATTTGTCATTTTAGTTCCATATTTAAATTCCACAGCTACCTGTACAAGCTTGGGCTGGTTGCCCATAATATCCCACTCTGCATTGCGAGCACTTGATGCCAATAGCTTCAGGTTTACAAGTACATTGGCCACTGCTGTTGCACTGAAGACTCAAGGACCCAAACTCGCTACAACTGCAGGGAGTACAACCATTTGGTCCAAACCCATACGTATTGTTCTAAAAGAAAAATATAATACCAAACTTTACAGTTAGAGAAACCGGAACTAACTTCCCAGGATCTTAAAGGGCCACTTGGACGAAAATCGCTCCAAAATTAAAACTCTTTCATTCCAACTGGAACTTTGCTGAAATAATCTTGGATACATTAAGAACCACTCACTGAAATATCTTTCTGATATTCGAAAGGAAAGGGCCAAAACTTTAAGATTTATTTTCGTCCGCCATTATTTCTTTGACTCACAGAATTACTCGTGCCATTCCTCTTGAGCCGAATTCTGTGAGTCAAAAAGTTTATGGCGGACGAAAATAAATTGTATAATTTTTGTCCATTCCTTTCGAATATCAGAAAGATATTTCAGTTAGTGGTTCTTAGTGTATTCAAGATTATTTCAGCAAAGTTCCAGCTCGAATGAAAGAGTTTTAATTTTGGAGCGATTTTCGTCCAAGAGTGGCCCTTTAACTTTTACGGCTATGAGGTTTTGGACCATCACGTGACGGCAACCATGTTAGATAGCAGTAAAAATACAATCATTTTACATGAGAAAGAATTGAATTCCCGAGAGCAAAGGGATATTATCGTTCTAAAATCTAACCACAGGCAGTCTAAGCAGTATTATGGGCGCGGACCGTGATGGTTCAAAGCCTCTATACAGCATAATCAAAGAAAACTTAATGCAAATCAACCAAAAAATGGAAAAAAAGAAACAGAATCCATTTACGAATACACTAACTCCCCATTTTTCCATTTCGAATCTCGTGCCATTTCGTTTAACAGAATATCAATATATTAAACTTTTACAAGGACCTTTGAACTTTGTCGAGGGATTGACACGTGGTTTGAAATCGGAAAAAAGTACTTCAAGACCAAAGAGATGTAAACGTTCATGGAAAGCACGGACATGTCGTAGCGACCAGAGCGCTGTCCCCCCATGCACCCAGGCTCAATTCCCAGGCTAGGCTCATATGTGAGTAGAGTTTTTTTTGGTTATCTGCTGTGACTTGACTTTTTCCTCCAGTCTTCAACCCTCCGCAAAAATTAACTTCTAAATTCCAATTCAATTATGGAAAGAATGCCACAGGTTTGTAACTAGACTTTGGATATTAAGTGCTGCCCTCGTAAAACAAAGACCACTTGCTTTTTTGATTAAAATCAAATAAACATGTAGCCATAAAATGCGAAACAGGTGGATTCTACCTTGCACTGGTTGCAGGTTCTTCCTTTTACGTGGGGCTTGCAAGCACACTGTCCAGTCTGAGTGTTACAGGTGGGTCCGTATGAACCCACACTGTCACAATCACAAGCTTGTTAAAGAAAAGAAAAATATAACTTTAAGTAGGTAAAATGAAAAACACTGAAGACTAAAGAAAGAGAAGAAGAGACGTATGCATGATGGTTAGTTATTCGAGAAATTAATACTAATTTGAGTACTATAATATAAGTACTAATTTGAAGCAAAGATAAACAACAAGAAAGGAATGGAAGGGAAAGTAAACAAAAGTGGCTTTAATTGGTTCATGTTATTTTAAATAAACATTGCACACCAAAAAAAAAAGGAACGAAAAGGAGATCTTGACACTCTAGTATTTCAGGGAGACAAGACATTCCCATTAGAAAAGACTAGAGAAACGATTTTATCATAGAACTCAATCATTGATTATTTAATATATTTATTCAGACAAGAGTAAAAAAATTAAAAAGCTGACATTCATTTACCTCTGCATTGCTGTTTCGATGCATCACCATATGTTTGATTGACGCACTTATCGCAGTAAAAGCCAGTTGTATTATACTGACAACCCAGACACTCGCCACTCCTTAGGCATTGGTTCGTGTTGTTATTGCACTGACATGGCTCACATGTGCGACCAGTGGTATTACCAGGACACTCACACATACCAGTTACGGGATGGCATACTTTGTTAGGTCCCTTGCACGAACACGCTAGGAAAGAAAAAGATTTCACACACTCGGTGGTAACCTTATCAAATAAATATATACCGAAGGAAATAACGATAATACAGGCTACCTTAGAAAGACAATTTAATATGAATACTAATGATACAAAACGACGTCTCGTTGTCATCTTGGCATCATCATCAGGTCAATTAGAAATGATAGTCAAAGTCTTTATTTAGACTATAGTCTCATTATTTATCTATTTCTGCTTCTGATACGACATTATCTATATTATATATAATCTCTTTGTTCGACTCGTTGAGCTTCACTGCGATTGTGATGTTATCAACATTTAAATGTTTGAAATCATTTTTTTCTTATCAGAATAACAATAAATGGGATTTCAAAGGTTGTTCTAAAGAATCTCTCTTCTTCCACTGGATTCCACTTCTTCGATTGCACGTTACGTCATCGCGGCCATGTTGGTGCCATTTAAAAAAAGATTTCTCATTAGCATCCGTTGTTAACGGTACCACAATGGCTGCCATGTTTTTTGTCTTTTGACTCTCTCGGGAATGCTTGCAACCCATCAATGCACCTTTTTTGTTGTTTGTTGTGCACTCTTTGTTTAACTTTCAGGTACCAATGCCCAGTCGCTTAACTTTCAGGTACCAAATGTACAAGACATACACATACACTGAATGCAATTAAACGACCTTCCTTGATCAAACAGTCTAATAAAAAACTCAAAACAAGGATTCTTTGAGAAGTCAGATAATACGTACGTTTACATCCATCTTCAGTCAAATTGTAATAACCAGGTTTACATCGACTACAATCTCTGCCTTCAACACCAGGTTTACAGGTACAAGATCCATTGTACTTCTGACATGTATGATTAACAGATCCAATAGGGTCGCATGAACAAGCTGGTTAAGTATAAGGAACAGTGAAAAAAATCTGGTAAGGACCAATGGAAACTGAATTGATAAATTAGTATGCATCGTTCATTTAAATGAAATAAACAGAGTTACTGTCTTCAGTAAATAAATAGACCCTAAAGCTGCGTTTACACGTGCACAGTCCCAAACAAATTTTAAACAGGTCAAAAATTGCACTTAGTGGTTCCGTTCACACGGGATTCTGCTATCCGGACAAAAAGCCCTATTCAGTTAACGTTCTTTACGGCAAGCCGTAGGCAGTATGCTTGACGCATCTTTCGTAAAAAAACTTTTAAAAGATTTTTAGAAGCATCCGCTTTATGTAGACGGCTACTTACGCAAAGATCCGTTGTTAAATGCTACGGTTAAGCTGAATGCTCCAGCCAAGCAAATTCCTTCGCCCTTCTCACCAAGACTATATAAAAACATAAAACATTGACAACTTAGTTATTCTGAAGTATCCCAAACATCATCCATTTCATCAACACCACTATCATTCATTTAAAAACACCGAGTCACATTAGCGTGCTAGCGAAATTTAAGGGGCCGTAATGCGGTCTCAGGTTGTACGAGAAAGGATTGCGAAGCAGTCCCCCTCTACTAACAATGTCCGCAGTAACACTCAAAGTACTGAATAAACGTATTGATGAAACATCCTCTGCAGGGAGGGAAAAACTGCGCTACATATGTAAAGTTAAATTCGTTAGTATTCTAATTAAATCATATTTTGACTAACTTATCAACAGAACATATCTGAAAACAGATAGCTACCTAAAATTATAACTGAACCCAAATTTCAGTATAACTATAGTTAGCATATACCCACTTGTGTACTTCATAAAAACGTGTGCGCTCATTGATTAATTAGAGGTGAATGTTGTGCGATATTCACCTCTGAATCTCGGAATATTGAGTCGGCAACAAAATGGCATCTGCCGGCAATCGTTTTGCTACAATTTCCGATGAGGAAATGGAAAAAATGAAAGTAAATGCCATTCCTATCAATACTAAAAAGGCAACGAAGTATGGCCTAAAAGTTTTGCTAAACGTTTTGCGTGAATTACTCACGCAAACTAAAAGTTTCTGTTTGTTTGTTTTTATTGAATGATTGTATATAAAAATAAGTTACTCTGTACACAAGTTGGTATATGCTAAAAGGGGTGTGTGCAGTGTTGGAAGCCAAAACTCGTAAAATTGCATGCTATCACTTAGTCATGTTGCTGCTATTTTTACTTTACTTCTTTTATTACCTCATATTATTAGTTTCTATTTGGCAATAGAATTTGAACAGAATTAATCTGGGTCCTTCGAGAACACTGTCAACCAGAAACTCCTCTGGTATAGCGACTATGCTTTCCTAAAATCATGAAGACAAAAATAAATGCATGAAGATATTGTACTCCGGGAAAGGAAGGGAGGGAACGGAAAAGCAAGCAAGCAAGGAACGAGGAAAGAAGGCAAGGAAGTATTACAAAACATGTTATAAAACCTACTAGTTTTTTTGAGCCGACAACTGTAATATTGACAGAATAGTTGCCTTGGGGCAAGAGGCAGTACTTTACACCGATGTGTATACAACGCTTTAACTCCAGGGCTGTTATATTAAAACTGGTTGCCAGTAAGGTCTCGTTGGAGCTAGGCACCAATTTTCCCTCGGTATCTTTTAAAAAGAGCCTGTAAGTTGTCGTTTTTGGGATGTACAGCCAAGAGTACAGATTGTTCTGTAATGAAAGTTAGATTAGGTTAGAATATAGGTCTTTTTCTCCTGAGATCGATTAACATTCTAGCCTAGCTCATCGGGTACAAACAGCGCAATATAAACGTTCGGCTATTTCGCTATTTCCGTAAGGTGCATATTCCAAGAAAATTAAAGACATTTTTGAAAATCAATAAAGGATAGCGAGCAGTAGATAACCAAGAAACAGTCACTGGAACACTGGCACCGGAACATACATAAAGTATTTGGGGAGGCACGTTCTTCTAAATTAAAACTGAAGGCAGAGGGTAGTTATTATCTGTTTTCATATCGAGCAAGGGACTGGGTACGAGCGTAAAAAATAATTAGTTATTAATTAGTTTGCTTACTGCTGATAACTAGCTGGTTTATATACTTACAGATGCCGGTTTGTAGGGATCCCGTCTCGCCATGATAAAGTGAAAATCTGGGTAGTAATAGCCATCAGGGACCCTGTGGTTTAACATATCAAATGCCAATAATCTTTATCTTAATAGCGCAGCGCAACCGTGACGTCATAAAAACGAAGACAAAGGCGAAATTCGGACAAACAAACTTACTTACAAAGTTTACTTTTAGCAGATAGTTTTCGCAGTTGATCTTAGTTTACATGGGTTATTATTGTAACTTTAAGTAAAAATAATAAAATCGGTTCGTATAATCCTCGTAGCGGTTAAACAGAATGCAATGTTTGTCCAAATCTTTAAGCTATTTTTACTGAATCAGTGCGCTGCGCTATTAAAAGGTAAGAAAAAGTAAAAGCCAAGTTGTATAAAAGTTTATCATGTGACGTCATAGTCACAGCAGGCATGAAAACAAAAGAAATTTTCTCCTTTGGGAAATAAATTCTCTTTTTTTTTTTCCGGTCCGGTATCCTAAAAATTAGTGCGTTCTGATTGGCTGTTTTGAGCAGGCGGTATTTTGTCAGTGTCTGCCCGCGCTTGCGGTCCGGTATCCTTTGCAGCTAACCAGCAAAACAAAATGATCACAAAAACAAGTAAAAAAATACGAGAAAAAAATAAATAAGTTATTTACCGTCCCAAAGTCGGTCAATAACATATATTTATCATGCAAAAATATTGCATTGTTCCTGACAACAAACATGGCTGCCGTGAAAAACCTCTATTGATGGTATAAAGTTTTATCAATCAACTATTGCTGGTTTTCACAGCCGCCATGCTGGATGAATTTAACAAAAAGATTCCTCATTAGTATCTTTTGTTATGTCATCCAACATGGCCGTCGTGTCTTTTGTTATTTCATTCTCTTGGGAGTGGTTGCAAGCCAGCAATTCACCATCTTCCATAAATAGGTTCACTGGTCAAATGTAAAGCATTCAACAAGATTTAAAAATATTCATGAACATTTGACTCCATTTTTTAGTGTATTTCCTCAAATTGACCAATTGCCAAAAAAGTGATACTCTTGGGAAGGACACGTGGTCTATAATGGGAAAACATTAATGAACTATGTACTTACTGTGTGCAATTTTTGCCAATAACATTTGCACGACACTGGCACTGTCCTGATACTTTGTCACATGTATTGGCAGGATAGGTACCACCTTCATCACATCCACATGCTGTAAACACAATATAAAATACCATTGATGTTGAACCATGCAAACTAATTCAAATAAGAGTTTATCGGTAACTGAAATTTAACGTGGCTTAGGATGATGACATGATGTCTATATACAGACAAGTACAAAGAAACACACAAAAGACACGCATAATTCCGAAACCAGTACATTTTAATGACTAGTAAAGTGTTACTCACATGTGCATCCATCAGTGCTTTCGTTTCTTAGATTGTAGTATCCGTGTTTGCACTGACTACAGTCACGCAGTTCTACCTGGTTTTTACAAGGACACTGTCCTGTTTCGCCCTGAAAGTTAATACCGTGCATTTTTATTGTTTAAAAAAAAGGTCAGAGTAAGTATAAAGAATACTAAAGTATCATGAGAAATAATGGTGTGTACGGCACGACGGTCTTTACATCAACCACAAACAAAGCCGGTATTGATAATAGAAAAAATGGAAAATAATTTTGGGATGTATAATCAAATATATTTTCGTACCGCGTTACAAATATTAGAGCCATTAACCGTTCCTGGCAAGTAACATCTACATTCTGAAAGAGAAGAAAAATATTTGGTGAGTTTTAGAACTGAAAATACGCGTTGCAGGTCCCAGTGTGGAATGGTTTGTGGAAGAAAAGATTTGCGCCTCTCCCAAAAATATGAATTTTCTGGACCTCGAATGTACTGGGAGAAATGCATCACCAACTCTTCACTCTATCTCCTCAGGAAACGTCTTCTGTGGTTGCAACACCTAAAAAAGGCACAATTTTGAACTGACGATGAAGATATAATTTTTCCGACTTCCGACTTGCTGATTAGCAATTCTGGAGCCATTATCGAAGGGGCAGCGTTTTCCATATATCATCTCTGCTCACTTCCTAGGAAAGGGCCTCTCTGTTGGGAATCCAATGAATTTTGCCTGCCAGTCATGTTTTGTAACAAACTTTCATCATCATTACATTATGGCATCACCGGCTGTTCTGTTGTATTACTGAATGCAATATTATTAACTGTTTTTAACTTCATTTGTAAACACTGATACCTACCTGAACAGCCCTCTGGGGTATGGCGAGTTAGGTTGAAATACTCTGCTTTACATTTGTCACACTGTCGTCCATATACATTTTCTTTACAGTAGCAATCCCCGGGTTCCTGTAATAAAACACAGACAAATATATAACAGATTGTTACTTGTATGATTCTCTTCATCATTCTAGAGCTTCGGAGAAAGATGCGATAAATGTCTCTTAAAAGAAACAAGACTATTAGTCTATAAGAAGACAAGAAATAAAAATCAGAAAGATGTGTTAAGGCAGGTTTAGACGGTACGATTTTCGCCAACTCGCCTACGACAGACGCGAGCGTGTTGTGTACGATAGTTGTAGGCGAAAATCGTACCGTCTAAACCGGCCTTTAGGGAGGGATGCAACAAATATGCAAATCACCTAATCCTTGGCTGTGATTGGTGCTCTGCCACTCACATCTTTCTGATTCAATCGTAAAGCTTTAAACATACCTTGCCGGGATGGCTGCTTAGTTCCTTTTCATCAGATACACAATCCAAAAAAGTAAGACGACTAGTATTCTTGGTGCCCCGCACATCACATGAGCATGCTGTAGCAAAGCAATCAATCCGTTAAAGGATGGACCATTAGATAATTGAGGGAGGGTTGCATTAATTTATGTTACAAGACATTTATTTTTTTGTAAAACCCCTGCACGCAATTGTTTTTATTGAAGGGAGAGGTAGTAAAGGTACTATTCGTCATTCTTGGTTGGTAACGTCATCATAAAATACGATTATTAACATTGCACACAATTTGTGTTTTTTTTTTTTTTTTTCCTTTCGTTCCGTTTCGTTTCGTTTCGTTTCTTTTTCGTTACTTTTTTCCCAGATCAGAATTAATAACTGAAGACAAAACTTTAAATTTTTTTTTGCTGTTGTGACTGAAATAGCAAATAAAAAAAACTTCCTTTTAAGTACAAGTGGCCATTATTTACCGTATTCAGCGAACTTTGAAAAAGCTCTTAGAAAAGAGACAAAGCTACTAGGCTATCTTTAAAACTGGGAACGGGGAACGGGGAACGGGGAACGGGGAACGGGGAACGGGGAACGGGGAACGGGAAACGGGAAATTAACAAAATTTTTACGAGACTCTCTCTCACCCTCGGCGGGGCTAGCCTAGATTTACCGTCAATTGTGGTTAGATAAAA